GCGAAAGATCTCATACGCGTACTACAAAAGAAGCATGCTTCTAAAGGTTACAAAAGCATGGTAAGAATGTTCACTTGAGTAACAGTCTTACTGAAGTTTTCAATTCTTTTTTTGATGATTTTCTGAGGTTTTGATGCATTTATGTGAAAAAAATAGGTATTTTACATTGAAGCTTGCGAGGCAGGGAGCATGTTTGAGGGCCTTCTTTCAAGTAATCTGAATATTTATGCTACCACTGCGTCAAATGCAGAAGAGAGTAGTTATGGAACATATTGTCCTGGTGACCCATCAGTTCCTGAAGAGTTTGATACTTGTTTGGGAGACTTGTATAGCATTTCCTGGATGGAGGATTGGTAATGCAGTGCCTTTCTTTCTGAAAATGCTGATCTAATTTAACAGAGTACATTACTTTGTCAGTTTCAAACACATTTTCGATCAAATGCCTAAACTAATTGCCTTGTTCTTTCGGTGACTTTTGGACCATATTTTCACATTTGAGAGCAGTGACATAAGTGATTTGCATAAAGAAACTTTGGAGAATCAATATGAAACGGTAATATTTTGAAAATTTCTCGTGTGTAAAATATTTATGGCTTTCATAATGTCTAATGTTGGTGAAATTAGAATAATATGACCATGTCGATTGAATTACAGGTTCGAAGAAGAACAACTAATTCGCATGTTATGCAGTACGGAGATATGAGTCATAAACAGGAGTTCCTCTTTGCTTACATGGGTACAGATCTTTCTAATCGTAGCCATACTTCCACCAGCGATATCTCTTCACCCTCGATCTCAAGGGCTGTTGACCAACGTGACACGAAGCTCCTCTACTTTCAACAAAAGGTTTCTGCTCTTCTTTTATTCTGAATTCCAAACTTCGATGTGTTTAACATTCATGTATACACATATATGTATTGATTAGTACATGCCACACTCTCCGGCTAGAGAACTTTTCGTATGTTTTTGACAATTTTTATTTTTCGTTCTATATGTGTCAGCTGAAAAGAGCTCCTACTGGATCTCAAGAGAAACAGGGTGCTCAGAAGCAGCTGCTGCTTGAAATTGCTCATAGGAAAACCGTGGACTATAGCATAACGAAACTAGGGGAGGTTTTGTTTGGACACGAGAAGAGCTCAAACGTTTTAATGAATGTTAGGCCACAGGGCCAACCTGTGGTAGATAATTGGGACTGCTTCAAGAACTTTGTAAGTTCATCTCCTGTAATTCTATACATCCAATTGATCTAGACGACACGCAAGTGCTTGTCCTTCTTTCTTCAGTTTTTTGAAGTAAACAAGTCTTATCTCTGAGATAATTGATTTTGAGTTCTTTCCATGTAGCTGAATATTTATGAGAAGTACTGTGGACATTTATCTGCATACGGAATGAAGTACACGCGAGCTATAGCCAACATTTGCAATGCTGGGATTACCACAGAGAAAATGGTTGCAGCATCTGATCAAACTTGTGCCAACAAACCCAATGTCTAGAACTTCCCTTCTGGTCAGATAAATGATTAATACATGTAGGTGTGATGTGTTGGATGCTAAACCATTTCTGGAGTTGATCTTGAAGAAATTGCAGCAGCTAGACTAAGAAAGCCAACGGCTATTTTCTTTTGAAATGTAACAGCTAGTTCAAGTTAAGTAATAGTTTTTTACAAGTGTAAGGCTTAGATTAAAAGCTCCAATGACGGGCTAAGATTAGCTTTGTACGAACAGGTTGGTGAGCATTTTGTCAGCTAGCTCCAATGGAGATAAGGGCTGACTGTGCAATCCCAAAACCCTTTCAATGATAAATATATGTGTGTGCTATGAGCTGCCGCAGTAGCAGTCTCCAATAACCGACGTTCCCTTCTTAAATTCTGTGCAATCATCACCATTTTTGGTGACCTCTATCCTTTCCAAAACTAGCATACAAAATACCATCTTTACAAAACACTATCATGATGCAATAAGAAAACCGAAATAATACAAAATATTTTCGGAAATGGTCTTGCAAGGCTGGTGAAGCAAAATCCCTACGGAGAGAAAAGAATTTAACTAAAGAACGAAAAAATTAGTTATGTATACCATTGTAGACCAAGTTTGATCCTTTTTAACCGTTGATCTGGACATCCTTTTTAACCGTTGATCTGGACTCTTGATGTGAAGATTCATCCTTCATTTCTCTTAAATAATTTCAAGTTTGGTATGCCAGCAGTTTCGTTTTTTCATGAAAAGGAGAAAACCTGTGTTGGATTTGGTCTTTAAACTCCGATGGGAGGGAGGTACTCGTGCATTATATTGTCTTGTCATACGCGAGGATTTCCAATCTCATATATTTTTTATTAGAAGCCATATCTAAAATTGAACTAATCAAAATACAATACTAGTTCCTAACTAATTTCAGAATCACAGACAATCATCCAATTCTCCTCCTCTTCGTTCTGGCTTGCCATCTAATATTTCTCACCTTGCTTAATTGAAGACGTCTAGAGCTTCTCACCATTCAAGACCTGCCCACAACCCGAACAGACCTTCCCCTGGACTTTAACCTTACATGGCAATGGCTACGAGTAAAATGCCTACTTGAGGGGTAAATAGAGCTCTGCAGCCTATCCTTTCTTCTCCCGGTGACTAACTTCCGCTTTCTACTGACGTTTCATGCTCCCCCTTCTTTTCCTTGTATCCTTGTCGTTTTTTTTTCTAGAATGGTAAAGTTATGTCCCCCCCTTCTTTTCATGTATTTTTGTCCTTTTTTTTCTTCTATTACGAGGGGTTAGGTTTCTATCCCCCTGACTAGGTGTACTATTTTTTTTTGTTATCAATAAAACTCTCCTCGTACCGCACGTCGATGTTTTCCAAAAAAAAAATTCTCCCCCTTCTTTTCATGCATTTTTTTATCCTTTTTCTTTGTATTATGAGGGAATAGGTTTATGTTCCCCTTAACGAGGTGTATTTTTTTTTTCGATATCAATAAAATTTTCCTCGTACCATTGAGGTTTTCTTAAAAAAAAGAAAAAAAAAATCCCACGGTCCTGAACAAACATCCCTGCGGAATCAAAAATATTATAGTAACAGTAGTTGTGAAGTATCATTTACATATCTCTCTTCTATGCCTTTGTTATGCTCATATAGTGCATAAAAGAAGTAGCGCATAAATCAAATAGAAGAGACATAATTTTGCTGGGTTGTACAAAAAAAAAAAAAAAAAAAAAAAAAAATTCCCAGGATTTTGAAGAAACATCCCTGGGGAATCGAAATTATTATAGTAACAGTAGTTGTGAAGTATCATTTACGTATCTCTCTTCTATGCCCTTGTAATGCTCATATGGTGCATAAAAGAATAAGAAGTAGGGCATAAATCAAATAGAAGAGACGTAATTTTGTTGGGTTGTGCCTCGATCGATAATTCATCGAAGGCCTTTAGTGTGTAGTATATACATAAAAATGCTACGGAGACTCTCCACAGACTTTTTGCCATGTTTTTTTTTATACAATACTTTATAATGTTGACACAGGAATTGACGTTAAACTATAAGGTGACAGAGAGTCCATGGAGAGTCCTATTGTGAAAAAGTCCCCTTGGCCCTTATATACCATACAAAGCAATACAGTGAAGATACAACTGTACATTGAAAGTTTAAAGGTATCTCATCTATTAGTGCATTTATAATCCCTCATATCCAACATTTTGTTATTATCCTTCTTACTAACTTGACATCAATTCAGTGGGACTTGGAAATCTTTCACCCGAACATAGTCTTAATGATTCTTGGAGTTCTTTCACCCGAACACAGTGAAATCAATAATTGTTTGGCCATTACATTCGTATTTTCGTTTTAGGTTTTTTTTTCCTTTAATCATTTGGCATATTTAATGACATAATGCGCACAATAATGTCAATAGTTCTCAGTAGTAAATCATTTCGTATATCATTTATGCAATATTTCCAATAAGATAAAGGTACAAACTGATGAAATTTACACAAAATTTTGTATTATTGATCTGAGACGGCAAAACGACTTTCCACAGGTGTATGCAATCCTTTCCTAGATGGAAGAAGTTGTGACCCGATAGCCCAAGATGACGTAGGACAATGTGGACAGTTCAGAAAGCAGTGAATAATATAAAACCAAAACCTAACAATGACAAAATTTAATAAACAAACCTATTAAGGCTAAACTTAATAAATCTTGACCATAATATAACACAAATTCAGTGTCCCGCTGAAAGCTAACAATGCTTTGTTCCCAACTACAAGGGCACAGGAACCAAATCTCTGATATAATGCCAGGCACAGAAGACAAGACAGAGCCTCCCCAACCTAAATATTCTGCTTCATCAAAACCCACACCCTGCTATGCCCTAGCGCCTATGCATTTAACCTTATGGGATGCTGGTAACTCTAAGTGTTTTACCTATTAGATTTTTATTTAAAAATACAAATATTAAGATCTAACGATTAAAACACCAAAGACAATTAACATATCCCCTTAGACTTTATGGATGCTTGATACTCAATACTCTAAGTGTTTTAATTGTTAAATCTTTGTTTAAAAATATAAAAATTCAGATCTAACTATTAAAACACCGAAAACAGTACTCAGTCCAAGCATTTTTGATCCGCCATAACCCATCAGACCAGACTTTACTATGCAAAAACCTTGAACACTGTAGCTTAAAAGGCTAGAAATAGACAACCTTCAGAATATAATAATACAGGTTACACAATCCTTAAATACAAAACATAAGAGGGGATTCTGCACCGATTACAAACTCCTAATCAAAAGCAGAACTAGAAGGGCTAAGCATACAATTAAGGTGACTTTAACTCGTCTGTTAAGCATCTCCTAGCTCTAGTTTTGTTAAAAAAATTGTAACCGACTCTATTTGTACATATCGCCGTTCGCAACTACTGTTTTTGGTGCCTGACACGCCATGATCACTGCAACACATAGTAGTATTATCTTCTGCATTGAGCTGCGTGTACTTTTTGGAGGAGCCCTTGCAAAGCTAGACTTGGTATTTGATGGCATTGAGCTCCAGTTTTCGTGGTGCGGCTTTACCAAGATCAATGCCACAAACGTCAGAGAGCCTAACCAGGTAGAGCAACACATCTGAGAGCTCTTCCCCCAGGTGTTGCTTCTCTTCCTCTTTCCAGTATGGCAGTCCTCTTGGAACCTCTCTTTTCCACTGAAATATCTCTGATAGCTCTCCCACTGCTCCCACCTGAATGCAAATTATACACCAAATTGGGAAAGGAAAATAGGGGATCTCTGACCAAGTTATAATGCTTAGAATCTCATGAGTAATCACATCAAAGTAGGGTCTTTAATTGTGTGTAGAATCTATAGACAGAGATTGACTTATCGACACCTGGATCACAGTCTAATCTTGAATGAATAATAGAATGCCGTGTATTTTAAATGTCCCACAAGGCATCTCGTTATTGTCTCAATGCACAGTGATGTACCGAGGTGTAGGAAAGTTTCTCTCAAATATAGGCACTCATTTACCAAGATGCATACTTGGAGTTCTAAAATTAATATTGGATAACCAGTACATTTATCTTTATATTTACTATAACCTTTTGATCCAACTCTATTTGGGGTCTTCTTCCCTTTTCGTGGTTGAGTTCACATATGAAAAAGAACAATGATAAAACACAAACAGTGATAGACAAGCTATTCAATCAGTTGTACACATGTCTTCTTTCTTCTTTTTCCCTTTTGGTTCTTCCATTTTCTGCACTTACAATTCATTGATGGGAACCAAACATCTGAGAAAATATAAACTCAACAACCAAAACCCAGAATTATAAATCCAAGAAGATAATTGAAAGTTTCTACATTTGCCATCCATATCATTTCCTGTATAGTTGGAGAACAGAAACTAGATCTTAGTATTTCATTGATTAATTCAGTATTATATTTTCAAACTCAAACAAACGCAGAGTACTCATGTCAAATATTACCAAGAAAAGAGAGATTTTTGTATCTATGTCAAGAATCAAACAAAAAATCCCACCCAAAGTAAAAATCAATAACAATAATAAAAATGTTCAACAAAAATACTCTTAAAAGGCGGTCAAAGGTCGTTCACCTGACAATTTAATAAGATTTTTTTCACGGAATGACCAAAATAATTTACAGTGGACAAAATCATGGTTTCATTATCATTATGCAATGTCAGAGACCATTTTAGATTAAAAAAATAATAATAAAAATGGATAATGCTAGGGAGAATAAGTTTGCAAACAAAATTTGCAAATTAAATGATATGTCACTAACAGGAATGAGCAAATTTATCAACGCTTAAGTAATAATTGAATCATCAACTTCGATGTCATTTAGTTTACAAAATTTTGTCTATAAATTTAATCTCCCTAACTTTACTCAATAAAAAATAAGAGAATAATAGATAATGGGTACGTGGACAAACAATCATAGAAGCAGAAACAACGGCTGTAAGCAAGTTTTACTAAGATTTCACAAATGGGTACTGAACTGATGTTAGGGTCTTGAAGTTGTACAAATTACCAGAGCCAAAAGCAGATTTCTAGGGCTATGAAAATGTTCCCAGTCTCTCTCCCTTGAAAACTCAGCCATTTTCTTCTTCAGCTCCTGCAGGGTAACAGCTTCTCCTTCTGCAACTCCAACTCCAACTCCAGCCATATCTCCAACCGCAGAATAATCACCAAACCCTCAAACTTTCACAGGCTCACAGTCAGTCTCAAACTCTCCTGTGGAGGTGGCTGGTCTATTTTCATCACAAACAGGACCTTATAAGACTGGCTACCGGATTTTGCCGGTTCCATCCTGGGGGATTTTGATTTTGATTTGACAGGCACGCGCCGGTTTGCTGGTAGGGATTTGGAGGGACTAAATGTTGTTGGTAAGGAATATCCCCGATGGACATTTTTGAAAAACCGTATCGTGCAAAAATGGAATGATGGGAGATCCTTTGGCTTCGGATGTGGATGGACTCGCGATCACTCAAACACTAACATCAAGTTGATATCATGCGTGTGCAATGGTGCGACACGATTATCAGTCTCTCTTATTTTCATGATGAATAATGTTACGTAGACTAATCTTTTGAGTAATATTAGTTAAATTAAATTTGTAGACTATGAGCCCGTTTACAAATGTTTTTAAAATAATTGAATGGGTTTTTTGTGAAAGTGTTTCTAGGTTTCAAAAGCACTTAAAGTGCTTTTTGCAAGAAGCACTAGTTATGTGCTTCTTGCAGAAAGCAACAGTTATGTGTTTCTAGCATAAAGTACCAATTATGTGTTTATTGCAGGAAGCACCAGTTATGTGCTTCTTGCAGAATTTGCAGAAAACACTTCAAGTACTTTTTCAAGATTCACTTGCACTTTTACTAAGAATTGGTTAAAAAAACTCTCTTCAAAAGTGATTTCAGTCATTTTAAAAACACTTCCAAAAAAGTCCTAAATTTGTGAACTAAATGATGTGTTACTAATAAAAAATAAGCACGTTAATCAACACTTAAGTAATAATTTAATCATCAACTTTCATGTTATTTAGTTTATAAAATTTAGACTATATATTTAATCTCCTTAGCATTACTGTATCGTGCAAAAATGCAATGATGGGAGAACCCTTGGCTTTGAGTGTGGATGGTGTGGTCACTCAAACTCTAAAGTCAATTTCATCCTGTGTGTACAGGGGTGTGACGCGATTATCAGTCTCTCTTATTGTTATGAATGCTAGGTAGACTAATTTTTTTAGTAATATTAGTTAGACTAAATTTGTAGACTAAGAGCTCGTTTAAAAATATATTGAAAATAATTGAAGGGTTTTTTGTGAAAGTGTTTTTGGGTTCCAAAGTACTTAAAGTGCTTCTTGCAAGAAGCACCAGTTATGTGCTTTTTACAAGAAGCAGTTCAAGTACTTTTTCAGGATTCACTTGCACTTTTAATAAGAATTGGTTCAAAAAACACTCTCATGAAAAACGATTTCAGTTATTTTAAAAGCATTTCCAATTGAGCCCTAAATTTGCTAAAAGATGTGTCACCAATAAAAAAAAAAAGATCAACACTTAAGTAATAATCTAATCAGCAACTTTCATGCTATTTAGTTTATAAATTTTTGTCTACATATTTAATCTCCTTAGCATTACTGTATTGTGCAAAAATGCTATGATGGGAGAACCTTTGGCTTTAGGTGTGGATGGACCTATGGTCACTCAAACTCTAAAGTCAAGTTGATTACATCTTGGGTGTACATGGGCGTGACACGATTATTAGTCTCTCTTATTTTCATGAATGTTTGGTAAACTAATTTTTTGGGTAATGCTAGTTAGACTAAATTTGTAGACTAAGAGCTCGTTTAAAAATACTTTTAAAATAATTGAAGGGGCTTTAGTGAAAGTGTTTTTGGGTTCCAAATACACTTTAAAGTGATTCTTGCAAGAAACACTAGTTATGTGTTTCTTGTAAGAAGCACCAGTTATGTGCTTCTTTCAAGAAGTATTTCAAGTACTTTTTTAGGATTCACTTGCACTTTTACCAAGAATTAGTTTCAAAAAGGCACTATCAAAAGCGATTTCAGTCATTTTAAAAGAACTTCCAAATGAGCCCTAAATTTGCAAACTAAATGATGTGTCACTAATACAAAATAAGCATGTTAATCAACACATAAGTAATAATCCAATCATCAACTTTCATGTCATTTAGTTTATAAAATTTAGTCTACATATTTAATCTTCTTAGCATTACCGTATTGTGCAAAAATGCAACGATGGGAGAACCTTTGGCTTTAGGTGTGGATGAACTTGTGGTCACTCAAACTCTAAAGTCAAGTTGATTTCATCTTGGGTGTACAGGGGCGTGACACGGTTATTAGTCTCTCTTATTTTCATGAATGTTAGGTAGACTAATTTTTTGAGTATGCTAGTTAGACTAAATTTGTAGACTAAGAGCACGTTTAGAAATGCTTTTAAAATAATTGAAGGGGTTTTGGTGAAAGTGTTTTTGGGTTCTGAAAGCACTAGTTATGTGCTTCTTGTAGGAAGCACCAGTTATGTGTTTCTTTCAAGAAACACTTCACGTATCTTTTCAGGATTCACTTGCACTTTTACTAATATTTGGTTTCAAAAAGACACTATCAAAAGCGATTTCAGTCATTTTAAAATAACTTCCAAACGAGCCATAAATTTGCAAACTAAATGACATGTCACTAATAAAAAATAAGTACGTTAATCAACACTTAAGTAATAATCTAATCATCAACTTTCATATCATTTAGTTTATAAAATTTAGTCTATATATTTAATCTCCTTAGCATTACCATATCGTGCAAAAATGCAATGATAGGAGAACCCTTGGCTTTGGGTGTGGATGGACCTGTGGTCACTCAAACTCTAAAGTCAAGTTGATTTCATCATGCTTGTACAGGGGTATGACACAGTTATCAATTTCTCTTATTTTCATGACAAGTAGTATTAAGTAGATCAAATTTTAATATTGAAATTGTAAACTATATAAGATGTTAATCAATACTTAAGTAAATATAATCATTAACAATCATGTCATATGGCTTATAAAATTTGGTCTAAAAAATTGACCTCCGTAATATTACATTTTTTGTGATACAACGGGTCTTAATTAAGAGAGCTTCCCTTGTCTGACCAATATTTAGTAATGTCATTCCTTAATAAATAGAAATTAAACTAGTGAATACCTAACTAATTATCTATTAACTTGACTCCTCAACGAATGGGAAGGATTTCTTCCTCAATTTACTACGTGTTTGATCGACGAAACTTTATGATTATGATCAGAATCGTTCATATTAGAAAGTAATTTGTAAGGATCACATGTGCAAAAAATAAATAAAATATGAGATAGTTTAGTCATCGAACTATTTTAAATAGATGGACGGATTTTGTAAAAACATCGAGAATCGTCTATTTATTTCTAAAATGACCTTAGTTTTGATTAAGTTTTTACATTGATAATTTTTATATACAGATTTATAATATGAATGATTAAACATGAAATTTTATGAATCAACCACTAAGTGAATTGAGGGAGGAAGTCTTGAGGAGCCCAGATAACGCAATTTTTTTTTTCAATGATGGCATACGAGATTTTATCAGCATCTCTCGAAATTGATTTAACAAGACTTTCAGTTAGGCTTTGGAGTCAAGCCCATTATTATTTCCTTTGGTTGACCTCTTCGTCAACTAACTGTGAAGAATGGTTTTCTTCTTGGATATGTGGCACTACTGCTGTTTTTGTGTCTCAACCTCAAGGATTTGTTGATTCGATTCACCTTAGTTAAAGTTGTCGATTGCACAATTTGGTTGACTTCTCCATCAACTGATGTTATTATCTTTAGCTATTTATGGTATTGAGCAAGCTGTTTGAGCTTGGTTTTAGTGTATCAGGATTATATCTTTAGCTTGTCTTCTGGTATTATGAATCAGAGGTTAAAACAAATCAACTTCTGCCGTTAACGCCCAAATCCCCCTACCGGATTCAAGCAAACACGCGATTACAAAGAAGGACCAGACTCCAGAGGCTAAATCAGGGTTTTGGGTTGAATTGGTTGCGCCGCCACTGCCCTGGTATTGAAGAGGATCAAGAACGATGGAGTAGTGTTGCAACGGAAGCTGTTTGGTTAATTAGGAAAGTAGATCAAGAAAAGTTAATGGAGCCCTAAAGGCTCTAATACCGAACCAACAAAAGAGCAAAAAATTAGAAATTGATTTCGTCAATTATATCAATGGATAATTACAAGAAGCACGGAGCACCCAGATTTTCAAGCGATGGGTTGGCTTCCAGTAACTCCCTCCGCCACCATCTTCAATTAGCTAGCTAGGTTTAGATTTCTCCCATCTTCAAGCGGTGCTCACAAAATTGAAATCGATTGTGGCGGTGGCCATGTCTGTCGCAATGATCTTCTGTTAAAATTATATATTGATGAACACCGATTGCAGATATAAAGAATGGAGGACTTAGCGATCGTCATGCCTCTTCAGTCTTGACCATTGCCAGAAAAATTTAACACCGTCTTTTGTATGTAACTGGGGCTTTAACGGCAGAAGCCTCTTTGTTTTAATTGTATACGTGTCCAATTTCTAATGGATAAGTACCACCACCCAGCTGGTGCTACGGTACCACCTAATAATTTCTCCACGTTATGTCAGATTGCAAGCCAGGTAGTTTTCTAGTACGTACCGTGAAATTGCTAATTTGGTGGATCGAGACCCAGTGCAGATAGTAGTTTCAATCCTACTGTAAAATAGTAAGAACAAACAACACAAGTAGCAGTTCGAAAGCAAAACTACGAAACACAAAGATTTGCACGAGTGCGAGGGAAAGCAGCTTTTTCACGAAGAGATGATGATGTGTGAATGAATGCTAAGTTTAGAAGACATTCACCCAGTTGCTCTCAAAACCTAACATATGTTAAACCTCTCCTTTGTCTCACAGATGCAATATTGAATATTAGGGTTATGCAAAAGGTGTTTAACGAAACATGCAGACCTTGTTATTTGAGTTTCCTAGGCCAAATCAAAACAGATTTTTCTCTAAAAAATATCCTTAATTAACTAGGTCAAACACTCCTACAGTAAGTCAATAACTAAATGAATTGATCTCACACGCCTAAAATAATTCAGTCACTTGAAGAGTCATTCCCTA